AACGACATTCCAAGTTGGAAGATAGCACCGAGTACCTATAACCACAAAGGAGAAACTGGCAAACCGGTTGCCACAACGGCCACCATCGCTATAAACTGAAGTGTACAGCGCTTATCAGAAGTAACGTGGATAGCACGCGTAAAGATTTCACCATAAAAAAAAGAACTGATATCATGGAAGTGCTGTGAATAATCTAGAGGCAATGGAACTCGTGAGTTGGCTGGACACGACTTCCGAATTGCTCTTGCTCTTGCCCGTGAATATTAATGCAAAAAGATTATGCTTAAAATCAGGTGACATTTGCATCGAGAATTATTTGTTGGAATTAATTCGAGGGGTTGCAGTGAGACCCGATTGAAAGCGAGATAAATTGTCATTGTGCGGTCAGTGAAAAGCAAAAAGAACGATGACCGATTGTAATGATGATCAGTGAACTGAAAATGGCATTTTGAAACTGAATTGCACATTTGTTTGAATCTCATGCTATTCACGTTATGTTTTAGAAAGTAAAAATGCTACAAATGGCAAAATCTTTAATTTGTTTTCGAAGAAGAAAAGATTTTATCAAAAATTCGTTATGAAGGCGTTAAAAGTCATTATTTCTTATAAAAGATATTTTTTTTATATTCATTTCATATTCGAGGTTTAAAAATTCATATAATAAAATTCTGTAAGTAAATTATTGTGATTATCATTTAATATAAAAAATGATATATTGTTTCCTGTATTTATTTTGTTTTGAGCCCTTTGTTCTGAAACTCTTTGGTCTTAATTTACGATCATCACCAAATACTTTAATTTTATCATTAAAAATATTAATTTCTTAATGAGTTTCGTATTATTTAAATTACAAGTATATAATATCTTGTATCCTGTGATGAAACGAAATTTCAGAAAATAAGCTGAAAGTGCAAAATTTTATTTCAACGTAAAAATGAACTTTGATAATTTATCTGATGTGTGTTTTATATATCCAATTTTGTTTCTAAATGGAACTTCCAAAATGAAAGCTGTCACGTCAAAAATTTTCGATTACCATTGTGAATCTTTAGTTATTTTATGTCCGAATCTACAATATTTACCTGCACAACCTATAGTGCATGCCAACAAAAAATTGGTACTTTCAAAAGAATATTATTCCATTATTTTTCTCTTTTTCTTATTTTAAATTACGCAGCATTCTTATATTTCAATCGTTTTACGAATACAATGAAATGAACATAAAATTTGACTCACTTCCTTCTTAATTAATTATCGATTTTGTCTTAGCATACTAATTATTTCGTTGCGGAATAAAATTAAACAAAATATTTATTCAAATAAGAATCTTTTCATTCCTTATTCAATGTTATAATAATAATAATATTCGCAATTTCGAAATTTTTACTTACGAAAGTACTTGAATCCTTGTTATTTCAATAATTTTGTACGACCTTTGGAATTCTACAAAATCAAAATCTTCATTTCGTATTGAAATGTGTTGTTAATAGTATTATTAGTAGATTGAGGGTTTTTATGCAAATTTGTATGTTAGAAAAAGTCAAATATTTGCTATTCCTGTTTTCAGTTACAGCACAATTAAAAACATTAGACTCTTTCGTGTAACAGAATCCAAATGAAATCACTCATTCTAGTTTTTCGTATATTTCAAACAGACAAATATTTATATGTTCTTCAAATATTTCATAGATTTTTTTTTTTATATTACACGCATTACACGCATATTATGAATTACACGATTTCGTACATTAAAATTTTGTATGAGTGCATAAAAATCCTTGTTATTAAATATTTATTAACCAAAAAAAACCGTATGTTTTAATAATTTAAGAATACACTGAACATGTCGAATATTTAGTTTCGATCTGCGAGAAGGTGAGACATTTTAGAATATGAATCGGAATACATATGTAAACGCTCGATACGAGGGAAAGGAACAGCACAGATTCGGCATACATTAAACTTAACGAAAAACGTGTGAAAACGGCACGAGGCTGGCACTGTGATATCTCTTCTCTGGAGAGAAGAAAATTCAAAATCGCGTCCAGCACGCGGTGAACGCGACCTGCGTACAAATCGGAAGTTGGCCCGGCGGAAATTCACCGCGTGTCGGGAAAATGGAAATTTAGTAGTGCAAACTAGGTTCCAGGGAAAACAAGCAAACCGAAGTCTCCATCCGTGCAGACGTGGTGGAAGAGAGACGGAGTATAAGGATCGATAAATGTAAAGCAGCTCGCGTACCCTCCGTCAGAAATTCGAGATTCTGTGTTTGGGATTAATTAAAAAACACAAAGGGTGGGGAAAAAAGTCCAGAATATCGCTTTGCTAGACGAGCGAAATCTGTCTTAAAAACGCCGTGTATGGGGAAACGTTTGCTGGTAATTAGAAGTCGAGCAGCAGAGGGAAAAAAGCACAGCAAGGCAAGATAAATTTGGCGAAGAGCAAAAGCGTCGATGGAGTCTGGTAGTCGAACCGATGAAAAGCTTGCCTGCTTTAATTAACGATCCAGGAAACTGGACGGGCAACGATTGTATAAAGGGAAGACACTTTCACAGACAAAACGTCCTACAGAGGCAAACGTTCAAATGGTAGCAAGGATGCGGATCGATGCAACAAATCGGTTCCAGTGCACCGGGTTAACAATGCATAATGCTTAATCATAAGTTTCGAATAACGCGTTAGTTGGTATGTAGGTCAACGACGAGGTATAACGAGAGTTAAAATTGCTTCTCTCTCTCTTTCTCTCTTTTTTCCCCAGAATACATGAGTGTATTCCGTGTTGCGAGAATGAGAACGAAAATGCAATGGTATTCATTAGAATTTACGATTTTCATGTTATTTAGTGATTTCGTACGGAAGTTTCTATGGCCATGGGGAAACGTTGTGATGTACAAATTACATATCAATTAAATTATATTAATCTCGAACAAAGTGTTGCATATTTTCTATATTTTATCACATACAGACACATGTATATTCGTATGGCACAACGATAATTATCTAAAACCAACAATCGTTTAAAAGCTAAACTGCTGATAAAAGTGCATTAGAAGACTTAAATGTCTTTCGACACTACGTATTCAAAGTATCGAGAAATAGAAACTAATCTACTAACTAAATTTTCTTTAGTAAGACATACGATATATCGATATACAATACTACACATCATTTTCCCTTATTTATTTTTCATTTACATTTGTTATAGTATAGTAGCTTGCAGAATTATCGAGTTACTGCAATAATATACTATTTCATTTATGTATTATTTTACAACAAACTGTTACAAAACCAATATGCCACTTCATCGATAAAATATTCTACCCATTCTACACTTTTTTTTCTTTTTATCAATAAACTGTACTAACGGATTCAACCCTGACACGAAATCACTATATCGATATGTTTTATATATAACGTAAGATTATATATCATTGTAATTCGAAAGCCACTCTATCCGTATACACGATATGCTTCTTGCGATCCTTTCTCTCTGCA